GTGGAGAAGAAATCCAAGGCTTCGCAAGGATGCTGGCTTCCTTTCGGACGCCCGCTGTGCTTTGTGTGGAGAAGCCTTACCTGCAAGGCTTCGTCGATGGCTTCGTACCTGTGCAGAGCAATGCAGAGCATTTTCGGGAGGTTGCTGGTACGAGTACGACTGCCCAGATCATCACACAGCTAGCATGCTCTGTGCAAGCTTGCCTACAGAGAGCGAGATTTCTGTGAGTAGTTGAATCCATTCGCCACTGAAGGCCACTCTCAAATTTCGCCCCCTTCCGTCTCTAGATTCCTAGGCAAAGTCACCTGCGGGAGAGTTCGTGCTGCTAGCAGACGCTTGGACTATCTTCCGGCATTGTGGGTTCGGTTTTCAAGCTGCGCTGTGTGCCTCCTCCGTGACGGCTTCCTTCAAGGGTTCGATGGTTCTACTCGCAGCCAGTAGCAGAAGAAGTCCTGGCTGGCACCGCAGTTTGTGCCTGTCAATCCGGATGCCAGCGCTCGGTTTCGGTCTCGGTGTTGACCTGGCATGCTTGCCGCTGATGCGGGAGCCAGGTATGATATATCATGCCCTGGTAAGGTTCGCAGTCCCCGCAGAGAACATCAAAGCAGCATGAAGGGGCACGTTTTTCAACAGATTTGCAGCATGCAGCCACCAGAGGTGAATGGCGGAGACGCACCATTGTCCACCGATGACCAGCGTCGCATCGGAGCACTTCCGGGCTTGAAGGCACGGAGTGCCCGGGTTCTTCTGAGAAAGGTGCAGCTCACCAGAGTTCAAACGATCTTGCAAAAGTGCGGCATGCGCCATTCGCGATTCCGGGGAGAACCTCTCTGCATCTTGGCTGTGACACCTGTCAGGCTTGTTTTGCGATGAATCTCCACAAGCCTTCCGATGCGGCTCGTTTACGGCTTTATCGTGGTGTGTTCTGTTTAGTGTGGCGGCTCAAAGCCCGGAGCCTGCATTTGTAACTGTGAGTGCGTGCCAAGGGCCGCTTCTTTCCTCTTCCTGTGGGCCTGCCTCATCACTGCGATGGCCTCCATCGTGGCAGACTGCGAGGCTCAGGTGATGCCGAGTTGCTGCACCTTGCCGGTCAATCTGCAAACCCTTCTTTCAACTTAACGTGGTCGTCCAGTAGGGAAGCTCTGAAAAGCAGGTGCAGAGTTTGAGTGTTGGCCTGCCTTGAGGATTGAACGAGTCCGGCGCTGCGCGGCTGGCTGGGAAGACCGCGACCGGAGGCTTTGTTCAGAGTCTTTGGGATTCGTGCGGCCCCTGCGATGTCAAACCGTGTTACCTTAAGCCTAAACCCAAGTCCAATAGAAGGCTTCAATCGATTGTTTAGCGATTTCCAGTGCTTGCATACACCTAGAAACTGCAGGCAGCCCATGCCCACCTGTTTCTGTGTCATGGGAAGCGGCTCAGTCTCTACTGTGCTCCCCGCCTTTGCATTCATTAGGCCCTCCTGCTCTGTTCGGCATCGCGTCCGCAAGTCCGATGGTTGGTTCCCCCATGCTTCGTGCGAGCTAGTGCTAGGGACACTTCGACTCCACAAGTCTCAGCTTGATCGGCTACCAGAGAATTGGATAGTGCACCTTGCACTTCGTTTGAATTGCACCTGCATGCTGCGAGTCCGCTTCAATTCGGGTCAAGCTTTAGGCATGTCTTAACGGTTGCCTGATGCTTGCTGGCAGGATGCTGGTGACACCGATGCAAGTGCCGAAGCTGCACCAAACCAGGATCAGTGTTGCATTGTCGAAGTGAAGGCAGCCACGGAAGGCACCCATGCGACGAGTCAAACAAGTGCAGACCAAGCAGACTCGCATGACATCAGCAATTTCTGAGGCCAGCCGGCTGCGGACAAGATACATTGCCGGCAAGCTGCACATGGACACTGATGCCGCAGTCTGCGCAGTCAGATGAGCTGAGCTGTGTGATGCAGCTGCATGTTGTGGTAAGGAAGCCTTGACTCAGCCCGCAGTTTGGCTGCACAGCTCTGGGGCCGGCTTGCACTCTGTCAGTGCTGGCCTCCAACGTTAGCATGCAGCCTTGGAAGAAATAAATGACCCATACGAGTGCAAGACGTCGGAGCCACTTCACCCTGTCCTTGGAAAGCTCCGTGCTCCAAGCTTGAGATCGTCGCCCCCATGCCAGACGACCTAGGAGTTCTCCCACCTGGTTCATGTCGTGACGAGCCGGCATTTTGACAGCAGTTGATGACCGGCTCACCCGCGGGTCTGTCGCAAAGTCGAGCAGCCGTTGCGAAGGTATTGCCCAACCCGACCACTTCTAAAAGCCAGCGACCTACAGTCTTAGATAGAACAGCGCTGGGGTCCGGAACCTCACATCATCTTCATGTTGGGAAAGCAAACGACCACAGTCTGGCTTCAGCGCCCGCTTCGGTGGTAACAGCATCAGCAGCCAGCTGCTGAGAGAGTAGAGCCCTTGAGGACTCGGAGTCTCCCCGTCTTATTGCCTGGTCAGCCGGGTCACCGGAATGAAGAAGACAGAGGCAGCAATCTCCGGTACTCACGTGGGTGCAGCAAGCAAGCGACAAACCAGTAATGTAATCTATAACAAACTCTGATTATCTCTGATTACCTGATGCTTGCCCCGAATCCTTGCCCATGTGCTTGTTTCGCACTGCACCTACGGAGCCGTACCACGGCCTGCTCAGCATGTTCAGTCCGAGTCAGACTGTGACCTGCAGGTTTGCTGCCCCAGGCGAGTCGTGAAATAACCCATACTTGCTAGAGTCTTGGTAGCTTCAAGCCAGCATGCGGCGTGACGCATGGTTTCTTCTGAGCTGAGGCTGGACTTCCCAGAATTCCTTTCTCTTTTGAGTCAACACCGAGCTGTTCTCTCTCCTCCAGGGCGAGGCGAAGCGCAGGTATAATCTGGTAATTATATCCGTCTGACACAGCAGACGTTCAATCAAGCGACGATTCCGTGCAGGTTCAGAAGATTCTTGATACTTGTTTAGGTTTTAGCCACAGCGGAAGTTGCGCCGGGGCCAATTTTTCACGGCACCGGCGGGTCAGCAGCCTGTGTTCGTGATAGTGGGTCCTCGATAGGACACGACTGCTATCGCACATGGCAAGCTTTGGCAGCAACTCAGCTTCATCAGATTCTCAATGTCCTTGAAGTTGAAGCCCTAACTCCTGTCGATGCCTGCTACTGTGCGGCTGTTTGCAGATCTCGATGCCTGCCGTGTATACTCACGGAAGCTGGACGTGCTGTGCCTTCTCATCGTTGTAGGTGTGTCGTGACTACAGACAGACAGAGAGCCCATAAACATCAGTATTTAGGACAAGCGCCGGTACCCCTCCGAGCCCCCAGCATTCGCGCGACTTGCACTTGAGTTATGTGCGTCGGTAGAGAAAGCTTGCAACCATCCTGAGGTTGGGACTGTGCCGCTGGTCGTGCAGGATCCGCTATTCGACGAGCGTCTGTACAAGAGCCGAGGCTAAAGAAAGCCTGTGGCAGGAGTAGGATGGTGCATCGCCGAGACCATGTTCCGACAGTCTTCCGAGGATTGCCGAGCTGCAGCAACTTGGCATGCTTTGACTTTGGCTGCATGGTGTACAAGCGCCGTGGCGCCTGCTGTGCTGTGGATAACACGGGGTACCTTCATGTTTTCAACGAGACAAGGACTTTGAAAAAGATCGCCTCGCTTTTTTGGTGGACAGCATAGACTGTAGTGCAAAAAACGATTGTACTTAGGCGTGAGACAACTGACATTGCAAATGCTTGGCAGCACCTTGTTGCTTGAAGAAGCTCAGGGTGATTCCGTTTCCGGAGAACTTGACTCCAGATTCACTGAAGGCTGGCTGGTTGAACCAAGCGAGGCTATCTGAGTGCTTCAGCCTGTCAAATCTAAAGATGGTGTCGCCGACTGGGTCGCTATCAATAACACGAGCCGCCTTCCGTCGTAGTCATTCTGAGGGTTTTTTTGTTCCATGCCTTGTCCATAGCACAGGCTTTGCTGGAGCGGCTTGTGAATCCAGATCCTTGGCAGCGCTGCGTGGAGACAGCGTGACCCGATTCGGCAGGGGTGCGGACCACCTGCCTTTGACAGGTCTTGACAGACAGACCGAAGACAGAGATAGGCGGACGCATACCGACAGAGAGACACAGACAGGCAGGCACACAGACTGACAGACAGTACGTAAGCCTGTACGAGAGACAGACAGACCAGTGAACAGAGACGCGACATGATGCGACAACCCCGGACTTTCAAAAAGAGAGTGGCAGACCGAAAGAGAAGCCACCACACAGACACCGTCGAACAGGCAGGCAGGCAGAAAAATCAGGCAGGCAAATTTACTGTGCAGCAGTTGTGTGTCCTTGCCAGGTACTGGGCAGACATATGGCGACTCCACCTCCAAGATCAAAGCCAGGGTTGAGAGTACATGGATTCAGATCCTGGACGGTCTGTGGAAAACTGTTCGAAGTATCCGGCGGCCGGACGCGAACTGTCGGCTACAGGCATGCCGACATGACTGTGCGGTTTCCTCGTAAGCTTGTCGATGCTCTTGGAGATTTGTCGAGGTGACGATCAAATGCACAAAGGATGCTGCACCCACGTACGTGCATAATTGAATCCAGAAGTCATTTCAAAAGCTGTAGAATGAAGGCAGCACAATGCGATTGTGCAGCCTTCTCACCGAAAAATCAAGCCACTGGCAATCGTTCGGTCTCGATGGACATGAGGCCGATACTCGTCATCAGGAATCAGATGTCATGCGGGTGCGAAAAAAGTGGGCAGCCCAGTCGATGCGCAGACGTCGCAGCACCACACCGCAGGTAAATGCCAAAAATGGCTGCAAGGCACAGAATGTCCTGGTCGAGCGTGAGTGCTAACAAAAAGCAAGCTGAGGGCCCTGCTCGGCTGATTTGCTTTAGGACTTCATGATCTTATTGGGGAAGCACTATTCTTTGCTTTGTGTTCCCGGCAATGTGCAAGCCGTCAGTGACGACGCGAGAAACCGTAAGCTTGTTCCAAGGACTGTGGGCTCTTGCTGCTCACGGGCCACCGCCTAGACGTCTCTCGGGCACACATTTGTTGTTCGGTTTCAAGAGCTCTCACTAGCGCTTCATCATTTGCATCATTTTGCATCTTTCTCCTAGTGTTGTTTTGCGCAGCTTCTGCGTTCTGCGGCACATGCCCGCGTTCAGTGCGCTGGGCACTTCCCCTTTCTTCCTGTCAGTTCGGGCGTGTTGTAGACCATTGCATGCAACCTACGCGTGTATGCGTATATAGAACAACATGATTTGCAAGTTTACATCAATACATACATACATGTTTGCACACATCCACCCGCACATGCACACGTACGTAACGTACGCACGCACACATTACACCCGGTACTTACATTGCCTGCATTGTTTACGTTACTTATATTCCTCCTGACTTGCTTTCTGGCCTGCTTACTGGCTTACTGACTTGCCTGCTTGCCTACGTTCCATTGCCCACCTGCCTACCGACAGCTACTTGTAGCTAGCAGCTAGGTGGCTGGCTAGCCATCTGCCTGCCTGCCTGCCTGCCCACCCACCCACTTACCTGCCTACCGACTTACCTACCTACCTGCCTACATTCCTGACAACGTACATGCGTACATACGTTTCAATCCCCTTTTGTTTCTCTCTCCCTCTGTCTCTCTCTCTCTCTCTCTCTCTGCCTTTCTCTGTCTCTGTTCATCGCCTAGCTGGCCGATGAGGACTGGGCAATTGTTTGGTGCGGCACCCTTTGGGAGGGTGTTCAGGGTGTTCTGCCGGCGGGCCAGGCCCACCTCCGCTTGGTGGAGGGGCTGGGCAGAGGCCTCAGGTAAGCTCCAACTGGACTTACGGCTCGGTTTTTTTACATGAGGCTACAGTGCCCTCGCTGTCGTGCGATGACAATTCCAGGAACACGGTCTGACTTGGAGTGCACGTCCCGCAACCGACCCTGCATGTTTTGGACATGAAGCTTTGTTGTTACTGTCGCACGCGTTTGGACGCCACCGGGGACAAACGGAGAGAACATGTGCGGGCCGATGGAAGAGCGTGAGGAAGTCATCCGCATTCAAAGTTTGTCTGCCTGGGTTCGTGATTCCTACTCCAAAGGGTTCGTGAGTGGGTTCTCCTGGTTCTTGCACTCGGCAGTCGCAACCGTCTCTCGGCAAGCATGGAACATCGAGCCGCGATGCTTCACTTCAACTGTGGTGCGAGCTAGGGAAGGTGGTGAATAAGCTACGTAAATGATTCCCTGTAGTCTATTGTGTCAGACATTGACCCGGCTTCAGCTCAGCAACGCAGAATGTAGAGAGGGGGTGAATGTCGGAGTTTATGTGTGCGATGGCTTTGCTTCGTGTAAACCATGACCGGACAGGTAAAACTTGCCTGCTGAGGTGTCGCTGCCGAAACATTGCATCTGGTTCAAATTTTAAGTGGTGCTGGTCTTAGACGATGCAGGCGTGACAATTCATGACCCCCTGTGCCCTGGGCTGGGTGCATCACCGCAGATCTGCAGATGCTGCTGCCATCTGTAAACCGCTCGTCGCTGGCTGCTGCAGTCAGGGGCGAATAGCTCAGGTGGGCGATACGAACCAAACGACAAGGCCCGTGGAGAGGATGTTTGCGACCCACACCTCCTCTTTGCAAGTTTTAAAGGTGGTGTGGCTGCAGGCCTTTTTTGTTGATGTTGGGGTATCTTCGCGGTAGCCTTGACGTGTCGCTTGATAGGCTGAGGATTACGACCATGATGAAACCATCGCGCGAGTCTCAGCCGGAATTTTGCAAGATATTGCAGTCTCGCCCCAAGCTCTGGCAGCAGGCCGATCTGCAATCTTGGCATGTGCTCAAGTCTGGAGTGTTCCGTGCGACCTATGTAAATTTAGGTGAAATCGTCTGATGGGTAACGCAAAGCCGGTGCATCAATGAAGGAATCACGGCACTGCTGTACCCGAAAGCATACACCGAAAATGTTTGCTGTTCGATCGCAGCGTGGCAAAATGTCAGTAAACTGGAGGCTTTTGGGAGACAGAATGCAATAATGTCAGGCCGCCTTGCACGACCACCGGAAGAGCTTGGGTTTGGCCACACCCTCGGTAATTGCTTTGACAGGCTTGCAGCATGTAGACCAATGTAGGCCGTCCCCGTGGCGAAGTGCTCCGGATTGCCTTTGCAATATGTCCTTGTCACACCGGAGCCGGAGCCATGAGCTGAGTAGACGCCTTGCTGCATTGAAGCTTGGCTGCATTGGCTGCATGATGGCCAGTACAAGTCCAGCTCTACCTTGGTCCCTTGCTGCACACATTCCAGATTGAAGGTGGCGATGTTGGCTTCTCTTTGCCCTGGGTATTCGAAGCTGCATGTTCTGCAACATCTTGCAGCCTAGAGCCTCGGTTAGAAAACTTGGAGCGAAGCTTCGGTCTGCCGTCTCAAGCCCTTCACGGTTCTGTGCTGGGAGGTTCGAGCAGACTTCCGAGGAGGCAGGGCAGCTGGATTGAGGTGTCTGAATCGGCGGCTTTGGAGGCAGCTGATAACGCCACCGTGCTACCCGTGTTTCCGCTTTCTAGCATCTACTGGCCGGGCACGGAAGCGCGATTGAACATCATCGACCCTGCATACATCAAGATGTACGATGATATCTTGCTCTCCGGTTCGCGCCGATTCGTTGTGCCCTATACTCGATCTCTGCCCGGTGGACGTGTGAGATATGCAGAGATGGCACCGAAGGACCGGCGTCTGTTCTACATCGGCTCGCTGCTGTATCTCACAGATCTGCAAGAGGTGAGCAGCCAAACTGGCGACAGAGTCAAGTACGTCGTGAGCCACGAGGTCCAGGGGCGCGTGAGGCTGCGTCGCTTGCTGAATCCATCTGCCTTGTTTGAAACCGACAGTGAGGGCAACAAGGTCAACTATCTCAAGGCCGTTAGTTGCCGCACGTTTTCCTCGCCGATGGCTTAAACTCTTTCTTTCCGGTTTTCAGTGTTTTACCTTCATCCTCCAATCAACTTTAACCGTTGTCGCGGGTGCACTCGAAGGGAGCCCTCAAACCTGTTAATGCGACAACCCCCGGCCCAAACAAAGGAAGCTGTCCGAAATCTTACATTGCCCATCACAGAAGGAGCTTTGGCGGGGAAAGATACAAAATGTTCCGGCTAAAGAATCGTAGCAGTGCAACATTACGGCGTCAATCCCGAGCCCTTGAATCCATCACGCTCATGTTCGCCTCGAGCCGGGTGCCTATGTCCCGGAAAGGCGGAAGTGGAGATGCTCCCTGAGCAGCCGGAGGAGGAACTGCCAGAAAATCCAAGGCCGAAGATTTGGAGGGAAAATCTTTTGGCATCATGGCGACAGCTGCACAACTTGTCCCAGCAATTCGAAGAGCCCCGCGTGGGCGAGGACTTCTTTGTAAAGATTGGGCCCAATGTGTCCACCTGGGTGTTGTCTGCTGCTTGGCAGGAGCTGCAGGTAGCCACACAAGTCGACCGTGGCCAAAAGCGGGCCTTGCAGGATGTTGAGCAGTTTCTCAAGGCCATGAAGGAGAAAGACTCGAAAATCTCGGGCCAGGAAGCCCTCCAACGAGTCCCACGCGGCCTGCTGCGAGCTCTCTCCGGCAACGTAGAGCTTTCGTCCGACTTCTGGGAGCCTCTCCTGCAAATACTGGCGACTGACGGCCCGGAGGAAAGAGGGCAACTCTTGTTGGAGCTCATACAGAACGAGCTCAAGCTTTCCAGCACGCGCCTGTCCTTGAAACAGGCTTTGTCTGACTAGCAACAGATGTGTTCACGGTGCTGCTCCGAACAAGGACGTCGTGGAGCCGTGTTTTAGCTTGTCTTCAAATCTGATCTAATTTCCGGTGCAGTGGCTCAAAGCGGCCGCAGCCAGCAGCGAGCGGCGCGAAATGGCAAAGATGGAATCAACCCATCAAGATACAGACTTTTTGCAGGTATTGATGGCGTCTTCGTTTTCGGTACACAACCTGTCAAGGTGGCAAGTGAGGTGCCGTATGAGGATTGTCGTGTTGACCAGGAGGAGCCAGACGAGGCACCCAAGAAGTGCAGCCCCCTCAGTTCGCTCAGTCTGCGGCTGTCAGGCCGTATGTGCGACCGAATCTAGAGTCTTTCTGAGTACGGCGGGGTTTCATTCCGTGGTTTGCAGAGATATGTAATCGAGTTTGATATTGGCAGAAGATTAAATAAAAGCTGTGAAGCATCTCAACATGTAGTCGAGAAAGCAGGCTGCGGCACAAGAGGTGAAACAACACCTCAGGCATCATTGATGAAGAATTGCTTGCGGTTGCACACGGTTTGCAAGTCCATGTTTTCGGGGTTCGACCAGGCTGCAACTGCAGGTGTGCGGTTCGTCCTAAGACTTCCGGCAGACATGCCACTGAGGCAGGGTGAAGACACTGCTCTCCTTTTGATGCCAAGGGCGCTTGCCAGAATAATTCATTGCAGGCTCTTCAGTGAGCTCAAGAAGGTTTTTGTGAGCAAAGTTCTGTGCGCGTGGTTACCGCATCGAGGGCACGAGACGTCGTTCGAGCATCACTGCAGAGTGCAGATTGTTTACACTAATTCGCTCAGATCGGCGTAGAGTCTTACAGAACACTGCATGAAAGATCGTGGCCAACGACCGGGCTGCTCGCATCAAGCAGTTGTGACAAGGCTTCCGTGCATCTTGGGGGAGCGTAGCGGCCCACAGATTTCATCAGCAGCTTTCTGAGTCACTACCAGTACTAGTAGAAGCAACATTGCCCAGAGGGCCGGTGCAGAACCTTCGCAATTAGACAGGCTGCCAACAAACCCAAGCAAACCTGTCAACACATGGAAGGTTAAGGTCAGACGCAGGCGAGTTCTTGAATTGACGAGCGAGTGCATGTGTGCATTCAACATCGGCCCCGCGTTTTGTCTGGCACAGCGTGGGCAGTGCACTGAATGAAGTGTGATTCCTCTCGTTACCCCTTGGTTCATTGGCCTTCCCGTCCAGACATGAGCTCGAGGTTGGAGGGGCTGGCATAGCCGCATAGCTGTACCCTGCTTCAAACGGAAGGCGTGGGTAGTTGCAGATGCCGTCGTACACCGTCGCACACCCTCAACCCAAACCACAAATGACTCTACGGGTTACGAACTGCAGACGGAAGGGCTAAAAGTAAAACTAGCATGGCATCACCATGGCTGGGTGGAGTCGAGTCACGTAGAGCATTGGAGGTGCCTGGGCAGCTTCATGAAGAACAAATGCATGCCGTGAAATTAGCAAGCGCAGCCAGTGTGAACGCAAGCCTTTTTGCAACCCTGCGTTGGCTCAAGGGCTCAAGTCAACACATGCTATGGAGCCCGTGCCGCACGCGCTAGGACTCGCTGTGCCGCAGGCCAGTGTAACTCCTGCCTTCTGGCCCTGCGTGGGACAGGAGGGCTCAACGAAAAGACCCCGTG